CTCAGTTCTATTACACACTCTCTGACTGCAGTTCAATTACTCATTACCTCCCCGTCACTTCGTGGCCGGTCTTATATATACAGACTACCCCCAATCTAGTAATCTCTCGACTATTCACGAAGGAACAGGATATTTCAGGATATTCTCTATAATTTTGTCATCGATATTCTGAAGCTATATTTTTATATTCTTCAATCTGATGGGAATAAACAGCAATCAATGAAAATTTAGAAACCACTTTCCATGCCTACTTCTGACACGCTCAAATTTACAATTTGCTAATATATTTTTCTGAGACCGACTGATGCATTGCCATAGTCGTCATACCACATGGGCTTACAGATAATTGACAATTTGGTTTTATGTGAAAAAAATTCCCACGGAACCCACTGGGATTGTTGATTTCCTAACTGCTCAAGTCACATGATTAGAGATGCTTGAGCACCGGTACTGGCAACCTGGTACCGCCGTTACTACTGCAAACCCTGGCTTACAGTGACGAACATAACACGAATGCATATAACCAATGACATTTGTACAGGCAGTTAGAGGTACAGAAAGTGTGTCTAGCAATTTAACACATCTGGCAATCATAGTTTGCTTTTGACCATTCTGCAGTTTCTAGGCATTGAGCTGAAAGAGAACCTGCAATACTCCTTAATAAACACAGGATATATGCAATTTCTTTACTCAGCATCTAGTCAGTTTGTACAATTATATGTACAGGCTCACCACTCCCTAATTAAAGCACAATCTTCCACTGTTGTTTTTACTGTGGAACTAGGTCAGAAACAAACAAACAAAAAAACTCTAGATAGTACTGCCTACTTACTGGAAATCAGTGTGGTTGAATTATGGTACTTAGAGCAGTGGTGTTTTGGTCCAGTTCTGAGTCTGCATATTAAGGTATCTTGAAATCATAATCTAGCAGAGACAATTCTGCTTCAGCTGTTGGCTTTTTACAGTTTATTTTATATGTGATCGGCTCAACACAAAATTGTTTCAGTCAGGGATTAATACCTCTAACACCCTTTTAATGTCTCATGGGCTTTCTTTTACATTGCTGACAAATTTATTGATGATGATGAATTTCTTGCAATTCGCTCTGGGAAATGTCTTCCAGTACACATGAGGCAGTTCATCTGAATATGCAGCTATGTTCTTGTACAATCTAACTTTTAAATCTTGAACTTAGCCTGATAGGTGGCTCTGTTTTCTACCAGATTGAAAGCCTGATTTAACTCTGCTGTGGCAGTTTCCCAATCACAGAGTAGGTTTTCAGAGTAGTACTCAACAGCAAGAAATGTAAGACCATTCATACTTAGTAGCAAACATTGTGTTTCCTTTCCGGATTCCCTGCATTCCAGGCAATGACTAGTAGGCTCACTTTGGGGAATTTTTCTGACTCTGAAGCTTAGATGCTTAATACCACTGCTCCAGGACTGGTGTGATCAGGGCCTTGTAGTGTGATGTCAACATTAATAGAGGTGCTAACTCTGCCTTTGGATGCCTGGAGGTCTCAACACTTAGCTTATTGCAGGCTTGTGATCACGATCAAATGGGTAACATTTCACCAATTTGAAAACACTATCTCTGATCATTTTGATCTGGAGCCTTCGGTAGATCCCAGATATCTGCAGCCCCATCTCTTCCCACAGTAATGTTCTTCACTGTTTGTCTTGCCATTTAACTATTTTCAAGATAGTGAATTAACCAATCAAAAAGGAGACAAACTATATCTTTCATTTGACTTCTAGTTCAAAAATCCAAAAATAATGCTACATTAAGAATCCCATGGATCTGCATAGAAACTGCAGTTAAATGGATGCATGCATTGCCAAACCAGAGTTTGGTTATTTCTAATAATCCTAATAATAAAAAAGGAAGACATTTCAAAGTTTTTATTTTTGGCAGACAAGCTTTATAACTTTTGCAATGACTGGAAAGTTCATCAAATTTCACCCTTCCATAATTACAATGAATAAATATTTATTTATGTATCTTTTCTAAATTGTTGTACATACATTCTGCATACAATACAAAGGTCAGACTCTTGCATTAACCTCTAGCTTAACAAAGGTTACATACAACAAAGACTGTTATATAGAGTTCTACTGGTATGCATACCACCTCACTTTAACCACTGTTAGTGAATTATCAGTATACTTTAGTGTTGTACAAGTATACAATTTAGTTTTTCTTGTTACACTTGTGTTTATTCCTGTTTTTTTTTTTTTACTTTCTACCATCATTTTATTTTCTGCATAACATTTCTGGAACATATTGTATTGACAATAGTTTTTTGGTGGACATCATATCAAGTGCATCCAAGTACCACACCTACAGGAATGCTATATTTTTCACAATTTAACAACACACATATGCTTTAGTGTAAGCACAGTAATTTTGGATCTATCTCTTAGTCATGGACAAGCAGAGTTGGACAAGAACAGCCTTGCTAACACAGTATTTAAACATTAGCATAAGATAATATGAAATAAAATTTGTATTTTTCAGCAACCACAAAATTCTGAAGTAACTAAAGTCTTAAATTTCCATGGAACAGATGCCTGGATAATAATGACAATCTGACCTTAAGAGAGAAACATTTGGAGGATTTACAATAAGTTTTTTATTGCAGCCTAGAAAAAAAAAGTGTAAAGTTAAAACTATAAAAAAAGTATCCTAATGAAGTTCCAAGATATGTAACAGAAGTGAGTGACAGGAAAACAGCCAAGGCCAATCACAATTTAAAGATTTAAACCAAACTATCAGTATTGTATTACCAAAGTAAAGGATCATCCCAACGAAATAACCAGCACATCAGAATCAACTAATAAATATAAGAAACAGATAGTCTTATATATTGAATCTTATAACAGGGAACATTGTAATCTTAATGAAAACATGCTGACCATTTAATGTCAGACTCAACAAAATCTCTCACAGAGAGTAAATACAGTATATTCCTTTGAAAAATTACATGTACTGAAAAGGAGAAATACGTCTGATGAGGCCAGGTAAATTCTCACAAACAGAATGAAAATAAAACCTGTAGATAATTGAATAGAGTTGTTTAAACATTTCTTTAACAACAAGTAAAAGCTTGGAATGGTCTATTCTTTCATATGGGGTGTGTCTGTAAAAATACGAAGAATTAAATTGTGGCAGAATGCTACAAGTTCTTTAAATACCTATAGAATGATGGGTTTCTTTTTTGTGAGTGTAAAACACTTAAATACACCAAAATCTGTAGATGTTTTATGTTGACCACGATAAAATTATCCTGTTTTCCATCAAACAAGCTATTGCCAAACAATTTAAATTTGGATTAATTTCTAAAAAGCATCCCCTTCTGCCTTGCTCATTCTTTTTTTGTGAAGTCTGATGCCCATTTCAACTTGTTGATTTAACTCTTTCTCCTAAGTAATAGTTTTTGAGCAGACACACAACCGTTAAAGACACTTTGTGGTAATGCATATCTTATTGTTCTGGAAGTAGCAGTCATATCTCTACTTACAACTAGGTTATTGGCAGCAAGATATCTGCTGCAGCATACCTTAAGTTACTTCACATCACTTTTGAAGAGTTTGGGCTTTCTATTTAGCCCACTATGTGCTAGTTTCACACACACTCTTCAAAGTTTCCATACAGCTTGTACTGACACACACAATTTTACCTTTATTTGTTGCATCAACAGCCAATAAATGTTGCATGTCTGTACTGGTAGCCATAAGAGCATTCATTGAAAATCACATTACTGGTGATGAACCAAAACATGAATACTCAAAATGTGATTATATCCTTTGAAAATATTATTACTTTCATTGGAATTACAGGTTCTTAAAAGCTGTTTACTGTTCTTTCCAAAGGAAAACATTACATTACAGCACAGCAAGAAGTCTTACTTGCAGAGAGCTTGTGTTTACTGGAAGGACTAATTAAATGACAATTCATGTATTCACATATATGTAGTACAATAAAATACTTAGTATCTAAATATGATACAAGAAAATGGGTCATATAGTGAATTAACAGATATGGTGAAAAAAAGATTAATAAAATAACAAGCTTCCTTTCAACAGATACAGAAAAAATAATTATATTTTATTATATGAAAGTTAGTGAACATTTAGAGGTCATCAAGTAGTAAGTAGTTTCTAATTGAGTGAGACTGTAAGTATAAATACTTTATTAGTACAGTTTTTTCCTGATTTTTGTAGTAAACAGAGAAACATACAAATATTATGGCTTTAACCATCTTACATCTTAGAATATGAACATATTTTTATTCAGGTATATGTAGGCCATTTTTCAAAATGTGGGTACAACTTGCCTGTATTTAGTTAGATGCTCTAAACAACAAGAATGTACCCAGCTATGAATTATGATAAATCTTTTGTCACTCACTGTCAGAACTAGTGTGGGTGTGTTTGTCTCTGCATATGGTCAGTACATGAATTTTTGATTATTTTTTTAATGACTGGCATAATGGGCAAATGCAGGAATTCTGTGAACCTTTGCTTCCCTATTTGGATAATGAGATTGGTCTCCTGACATGACATTTTGGGATGTCTAGGAAGAGCTTGAACTTAACATAGTTACAAGCAAAGTTAGGTTTTGATTACAAAAGCTTTGGTGTTACTTCAATGCAGTTATCTGGACTTTGCAATCGTCCTAAATATTTGAAAACAGTAACAAATTTACCTAAAAGCAACACAGCTGTTTTCACAGTCCATTGCGATTAACCAATCACAAGGGTGGATTATGGTCATTTGGAAGCATCTTTGAGAATCCATTCGGTGACAAGGTGGATTACAGGAAGCTGAAATAGCCTCACACTTGGGTGATGTTGGACACACTACAAGTATCCCATAAAACCACAGATATCTTTTAACTGATTCTTGCTAAAGAGAGCAACACTTTATGTTAAATTAGCACACAATTTATACTGGAATTATCAAACTCCAAACAGAAGTTCTGAAAAAATGTGAATATTTATTACATTAAGTATATGCATAATAAAAAAGAGGGGTATATGTTATATCTATAGTTTGTTCTATTCTGGTATTCACAGGTAAAACTAAACCATCAGGGAAGCTTTTAAGACTGCGATTACATGAGGTTTGGAGAATTTATATGCAGAGCATAAATAAGTCAAACTTGATCAAATGAAACAGTGATGAAACATGATTGTTTCACATGACAAAAACATTTTTTCAAACAAAACAATGGGCAAAAATGGTACGTGAGGTCAGGAACTTCTGTAAATGGCCAGCTTCTTTCATTTCCAAACAACAATTACCTGAATGTAACTAATTATATGGTTGATTATAAGAATCTAAAAATATCATGTTACAGTCATAAAATAACCTCACACTTGGGTGATGCTGGACGCAGTACAACTTGCATGAAACAACATAAATGATTCTAGACTGACTTACTTTAGGGAATAATATCAATAGTTAAATAAGCACAAAAAACTAAAATTATCAGGCTCTCTACAAGAACTCTAGGAAGATTTAGAAACTTGATTTTAGTAAATATATACAGTTTTGGAAATAAGTATCAAAACATTGAATGAAATGGATATAAAATGCAAATAGGACCCAGATAAAGCTTCACAAGTGATTCTCTGACATTTTATATTATATTATTTATAACCAATAAAAAGCTAAAGTTTTAATCTGTCGATTGACATATTAGGTTATTTTCTTTACAGAAATTTACCTATTTCTTTGTTCGGTTTCAAATTATTTTCACACACACACACATCCTGAGTTCATATTAAAGCAAAAGAACCCATACAAAATTTTACAGGCAAATCCTGATTTTTTTTGAAAGCTGTAATGAATTTTTTTTGAAAGATGGGATGTGACAGGTGGGCATGATAAGTGGGTCTGATTTTCTAGTTTATATCTCCATAGACAAATACGATTGACATCTATAAAAATTATGCTTTACCCGAGTAATATCTAATATTATAATGAGTAATTTACATTAAATTCTGTACTTCTCGGAGAAGTGGTAAATAAAGTAGTTAAGAGGGAAGATCTAGAAAACAAATGCCATAATTCACATACTAGTGAAGATTTATGATTATTTAAAAGTATTTTCTTATAAATTAAGAAGTTAAAACTTATACAATATTGAAATTTGACTTATTTACTACATTTTGATGCCAAGTATATTTGTATAAAATAATAATAAAGTAGTTTAATTAAGCTTTGAATGTAACTCTAAAAGATCGTGACGTGTGCACTTTGACCTACCCATGGTAAGAGTATTGTTAATTAGGAAGCAATACAGTTTTTATTTCAATTTAACCACAGTTTTTAATTTTTAGTCTGTACAGTTTACTTTATTTTCACTTAAATTTAAACAATTTCTCTTACTTTATAGCCCTACCACTTATGGACTGTTAACAGTCTCCTGTGTGCCTCTGTTAATAAAGAATTTATCTGTCTTTACACAGGATCTTGCCTTTGTAATATAACATCCAACAAATCACTACACTTGTCCTTCTGAAGAGCTGATGTGGGAAATATTTTCCAAGATCATCTTTAATAATAGAAGTGTCTTCAAAAACATCTCAGGTGAACAGGAGTGTTATTTTTTTAAACAAACCAAATAAAATGGTTGTTAGTTTCTCTGTTCTGTTACAAAATACTGTTTCTAATTTATAAATGTATTGTGAGACAATTATACAACTTTGTAAATTTACAGCAACACCTTGTTTTGTTTACTTATTAAGACATAAAAGTCCAGAATCTGTTATTTTTTTTAAAGTAGGACTGTAAAGTTATTTGTAGCTTTACAAAGAGATCTCAAGAAGAGCTACTCATTATTGAAATCAGAAATTTACTTTTCTTACAAAACTTTGGAAACTAGAATGCATTGACACTGTTCAAGAGATATGTGAAAGAAAAACAAATCAGATGCTTGTAATTAAGGAGCTGGGTGTGAACCAAGACTTTTCACATGTTTTTATTTACATCAAAACTCCAATTTGCAAATACTTTACAACCATAAAGCACTGAATGAGCTAGAAAATGAACAATATTACAGCATATTATCATTGTTACGCTTAAAACTATTTAAAGCATGATTACTTAAAAGTAACAACTCTTATTTATATTATACTAAAAAATGGTTGGGCCACTTACATCCTATAACACTGTCCAATGTAAATTGGACATATGCTCTTATTGAGCAGATAATATTAACAGTAGAACTAAAAAAAACTAGTTTTGCTTGAATAACAGATGTTAGACTGCAAAAAATTACAGAAAATCGTCAAAAAGTCTGAGAAACATATCACAAAAATTGAAAACTTAACATCATTTCGAAATTACAATTTTTGGTTGTTAAATGAACAAAATAATCATTTAGATACATCTAATTAGTATTCAAATATAGTGTTTATTTATTTATACAAAATGTTTTATGAAATACTAGAAGCTGAAAATGTTGGAAGTAACAAGTAGCAGATTTTAAGTGTATGACAATATAACTCATATTTCTAACTGGCTAAAACAATTATTATTTCTATTTTGAATGCTAAATTTAATACCAGTCTGTTGTGTTAAAATGCAAAATTATAAACGGATGTACAATTAGAAAAGTAACACTAACAGCAGGCATTTGCTAGATTTCTTGTTTTATATAACTTCCTGTTTTATATAAGCCATATGTTCTTGAGAGAAGCTAAAGTTATGAAATACCAAAATCTTTGTTGCATAGTCTACAATTGCACACCATCTCAAATTGTTATGATATAAAAGACTTATAACCTTTACATAAAGGTAGTTTTGTTAGAGTTAGTTCTAATAGTAGTTTGAATATAAAACATCCTAAGCAACTGGATATGCAATTGGAAAATAAAAGTTTCAAAAGCATTAATTTTAAAAGGAGATGGTTTTTCTCATTATATTCTATGTTGAATTATTCAAACAAATCAGACAATACACAGAAAAAGCGTTCTAATAATAAATTAATATTAAACAAATTATGAGATTTTTTTTTGGAAGTAAAAAAAAAAGACTTACCATTCTAAATGCACAAGACATTATATTTAAGAAAACTTATCATTTATTATGACACCCAACTACATGTACATGTAGCTAAGGGATTTATACAAAAGATGAATTCAGGCACAAACTCCATCATTTCCATGTACTTAATTGACAAGCTCATTAATTAGTCAGTTCTATCTTTGTATATGGATGTGGTAGAAAAACTGAGAAACTATTGTACAAGAAATTTATTTCTAAAAACACTTCACTGTTTCACACAAAGGAATGAGAAGATTCACTTGTTTTTGCAGAAGCTACAAGCCACGATTTACTGGCTTCATCAGTTACCTGGTCTTCAGACTCCACTGTTTCACTTTCATGTAAATTTACCACATCAGAAGGTAGTGGTATTTGTGCAGGACATTCAAAGTGCACACAATGGAAGACCTGGAGGATAAAAAGTTCAAATCAACTTGAAAACACATGGATTAAATCATGCAAGTAACTAGTAAAATATCAAAACTTCATGTTGAACAAAAACACATTTGATATAATTAATTACAAACAGATCTGAAGTTATTCATGTACTCCACTGAATGTTTAGTTTTTACTTCTTCAGGAGACAAGTCAATCTATTTTTACAACACAAAATTTTGTAGGTTTAAACTATTTTATTACAAACAAACAAAAAAATGCATAAACATACTAGTTTTATTATTTACATTAAAGCCGTGGCACTAAGATATTTACTGATGTCATGACTAGTAGCCAAATGATCCCCCGAACTGTAATTGTTAATAACTTACTAATTCTTTATGATTTATATTCTATGTTTCAGTTGTATATCTTCTGCCATATAGGCTGTTAACCATGATAATGACACACATACTAATTTAGTGTGCTCTTATGACTTTCTGCAACCAAAATTCTTTAGAGAAAGTACCAAATATAAATATATAAAAATGCGACCTTACTTTAAATCACACAGAATATGATCATAATATCATGTCTAATGTAATACAAACGTTTCACAAATTAAATGATATCCAACCTGTACAACAACAACAAAAAGAGTAGAATACATTGATTATGCAAGGTCATTTGTGTTTGAAATTGAAGATATAATGAGTAAAATATTTTCTTTAAATTTCTTAACATCACTAAATGAGGTGACAATGGAGAAATACAATAAAAAATCAATATAAAACATAATTTTCAAAATGCATATATACATACACAGAGGTACAGCTGGACAATTTAATTAATTACTTATGAGAAGCAATTACATTGATTAGTATTATGTAGACCAGTCGATAAATTGAAATCAGTGCTTCCGATTATTCAAACAATTGATTTATCAAAATTCAGGTTATGTCATTTGTCACAAAAATAATCAATTAATCAAAATTAGGGGTTTATGAATATTACTGCTCTTGATTATTCCAGCTATCCAAGTAATTGAAACATTGATATTAAATTTGTTTTTTGTTAAGTACAAAACTACATAATGAGCTAAGTCTAAACTGTTGAATAGAGGGATAGCTACTTTTTTGTTTTCTTCTTTTTGAACTGCTGACCAGAGTGAAGCAAACTATGTGGCAGCAACCGCCGCCACCACCATTCTTTTTTCTACATGTTACATAGAGGGTTGAGTACAATACATTACAATGATTTTCAATATAAAAATTAGCAAGTCACTTCTCAACTGTTAATTTTACATCATAATATGTGCAATTTTTTGTGAAATGTAAGGGGCAAATGCCCCTCTTGCAGGTGCCTGTGACTGCAAGGCTATTGTCAAGATTCACAGTAATCAGATAGAGCACAAATGGATGTGGCAGCATGGACTTTAACAAAGTTTTGAGGCTCCAAAACCTTATTACATAACATACTCAACCTCTGTACATATTACACATACATATATATAAAATAGAAAAGCTGAAATTTCAAGATTCATAACAATTTTGTATATTCAGACATTTTCTAGTCTCAGTAGTGAGTAAGTTTTTATTACATTAAGTACTGCATATAAAACTTAACAACAGGCTAACTGTACATGTGTATGAAATACTAACCTCATTTGCAGTATTATGAGTTCCCACAATTCTAATGAAAACAACAGGCTGTTTTTGAAAATAAACAGTTTGCCATGATCTGGAATGGTGAAAAAAAAACATTATCCTTCAAAGTACATAACAAAAAAAAAACTTCAAACCTAATTTTAGTCAAGTTAAATGTAAATTTCATCATATACCTTCCTGTTTCCCATCACAGTGAAACATACAGTACATTTTTCACATTGCTTAGATGCATATACGAGTCATCAATTAAAGCCCAAATGAAATCTTAACTTATTCAATATGATTAGTTTCATTCAAAAATGAAAGAATGTTTCTAGAAATAAACAGATTTTAATATTGTGAGAGTTTCAACTTTGTTAAATACAAGAAATTAAATGAATATTGTATACAACTTTTAATTTCTTAGATATTTTTTGGAAACTACATAATAGTTTTCTTACTTAAAGTGAAAGCAACCTGTAGAAACTTTTGTGTCATAGTTAGGCTAATGATAACTGAATAATATAGAACAGATAATAATAGTAAATAAATCACCACTGAAATTTACTAACTCAAAGCATCTAAAAAAAAAAGGAGAGAAAGATGTAAATAAAACATAGTTTATTTGTTTCTTTTACAATCATTTATCGTCCATAGTGGTAAGTGTGTGTGTATAACATGATGTTTGTGATAAACAAGCATATTTCATGTACAGATGAGCAATCCAGAAATTTTCCAGCTTAAATTGAAACACTGGATTAACCTGAGCCAAAAACATACACAAATAAACATTACTAGAGAGATTGAAAAAAACTGACATTTTATTTAGTGTAAACAGTTTAACAAAAATTATAAATCTAAAATTTAATATGTTAAGTACTAGTTGCATTAAAAAAAATCCATCTTTTGCCTAACCCTGATATGGTTAAGTATAAGGTTGCTTAGCCTAACCCTGATATGGTTAAGTATAAGGTTGCTTTGCCTAACCCTGATATGGTTAAGTATAAGGTTGCTTTGCCTAACCCTGATATGGTTAAGTATAAGGTTGCCTAGACACAATCTTACTTTCTTTTTCCTCTTTGATTTAATGTATCATTTCCATGTTCTCAAACATCAGCCTTGGCAACCATTTCTTGGCTTGGCTCTTGAGCAAAGCCACAGCCAAGTGTTTGGACTGAGTCTATACTGGCTCGATCACCTTTACTTTTGAGGAAGTTATGCATTTATCATTACAGAAAAATGAACAGTTAGTAACTTTTTTAATAAAGCAATTTACATTTACTGAAGTATACATAGATATATTTTTGGCTCCAAATAGATAAACTTATTGCCTAGAAAAAGAGCTATACTTTTTATTTTGGGTTTATAAAATATAGTACTATTCGTTCATGAAGTGGTTTTAGTAATATTTGGACAATAGCAAAATTACATAATAAAGAGCTAATTTTTTAAGTGGAAATTTAGTTTTTGTTGGTTTTTCATCATGAAGAACATAAATGTTTAATATGAAATATGGGAGATCATTCAATTTAAAAGAAATACTTTACTACACAGAAAATTAAATAAAAGTAAGAACAGCACAGCTACAGTACAGTTTTTTTTATTTGAAGCTGAGCCATTTATAATTGTTATGCAATAAAAATAATGGTGTGTCCACATTTTTGTTTATAAAAAGAAAATATCACATATCAAATATTTATCTTATAAAGGCACTTTATTAGTCACCTTGAAAAACTGAAAAAGGAGAAACATTTTGCATTAGTCTACATTTATGGTTAAATCACATCAACTATATATACATTCATTCCCAGACACTTCAATCTTCAGGTTTAAAAGTACCTTTTAAACATTAATTGCTCAATCCTAGGTAATAAGCCACAATGGAATTTGCCTGTGAATGTTTTGTTCAAAGTTATAAAGTCAGAGACTTTTTAAATTTTTTACTTATGGTGGTACATCTTATTAGCTAGAGTAATTACTGTTTTATAGCTTTTCTTTCTATTTATAGGTACAAGTATAAATAACCTTTTGCAAATGTAGGTTAAACAAAAAAAAAACAACAACAAACTTTCACATAAGGATTGAATTTCTATATTTTCTTTTCAGTTGGCGAATGTAGTGCACATGCTACCCTACTGAATTACATAACACATGAGCTACTTGCGAGCATACGTCGTGAAAATGTTTTATTATATTATCATTATTGTTTATTTCACCTAATGTAACCTTATCTAACATAAAAAGTTTCCTATTTTACATTTTAGTTACTTTTATAATAATAAATAAAAAATACATATGTAAAACAAGAAACAAAGTCCATAACTGTTTTTTTTTTTGCTGTTGATTGTCGAAGACAGTTAACCCTACTTTTTTATACTGATGGTGGTACTACACTATAGATTTAATTAAATAATGTACCAAAAGTAGGCAATGTCCAATAACTATCACAATTTTTCTTACTTTATAACTATGTGACAAGAGCCATTAGAACCTCATCTAAGCTCATTGATGTGTCTCCTGTGGGAATCAAGTAATAAACTGAAAGCAAAATTGACAGAAAACAACAGATTATAATATGTTACTTGATATATGAAAACCTTGACTTTCTATTGGTTATAAATAATAAAGCATTGAATGTCAGAGAGAGCTATTGGCAATTTCTGAAAGAGAGGATGTGACAGGTGGGCATGGCAAGAGAGGTCTGATTGTCTATTTCATGGCTCTGTAACCATATAAGGTTGAAGATTATGAAAATTATGCTTTGCCTGAGCAATGACAATATTATAATGAGTAATTTACATTAACGTTTGTACATCTTAGAGGGGTGGTGAATAAATTAGAGAAGAGGGGATGCTTAGAGAGCAAACATCAAGATTCTCACAATAGAGGATATTCTAGTATTTTTAAAATAATGATTATAACTTTTAGAAAAAAAAATGTGTATTTTTCTGCTTATACACAACATTAATCATGGTAAACTAGTAACAAAATGTGAGTTTTAAACTGAATAATTAGTGTTTTGACGGTTACAATACACACCTGCATTCCTGATCTTTTCTATCAGCCACTAAGTGCCAGTTCTGCTGGTCAGTTGATACTTCTATGTAAAAGCTGTAGCTACGATCATCACAATCCCACAGTAATAATCTAACAAGAAAAACAGTTCTTTAGAATATATTCATATTCAAGGTCTAAAATATTCAGAAACATTTGTCATTTAAAAAATAATACTCAAAATATGAATAACATTTAGAATTTGCAACTGAATATAGTGATCTTATGGGTTAAATGAAATATACTGGAGTTGATTAGCTTTTACATCAACAAATATTTTTTCATAGCAGGCTTTTCCTAATATACTACAACTCATTACTTAAATAAAATGAGTCTGTCTGGTATTAGGAACAAACTGCACAATGGGCTATCTGTCATGTGCCCACCACAAGGACTGAATCCTGAATCTTAGCAATGGGACACACGTCAAAAGTATTTTTATAGAAACAGGTAATCACCATATTTTGTATTTCTCTAGCCAACTTACAGTTATTAACCATCTTTATATTTGACTGAGTAGTTTGAAAATCTGATATTGAGTATAAGCAAGCCCGCAATATAAACCAAACAAGATAGGGGTGGAAGTGGACGTATCACTTGATCTAGATAATTATCACATTGCAGACTACAGCTGTCCCAAAGTTACATGGAGAATAAAATCCCTACATTATTGGCTTCTCACTTTGTCTATAAAAAGCTTGGTGTTTGAATATAATCTCAGCTTTCATCATCACACCTTCAACTTTAGAATACCAATTTTATGATTATTTTACAACAGAGTAAAATTTTACAATTGTTTCTATTTGTTTTGCCAATGAAAAAGCAAGTAACGTAGGGATTGTATTCTCCATGTGAAGTTGAGACAAGGAACCCACTTTGAGACTAATAATGGTTGGAGACGGCTTGAATGGGTAATGAAGAAAAACTTTAATATAAGTTTAACACAACAGCAAATGTACAATGTTTCGACAAGGTTTTGTCATCAGATATTGTGCTTCAATAGTCCATTGTAGATAACAGATATTCTGCTTTAATAGTCCATTGTAGATAACAGATATTCTGCTTTAATAGTCCATTGTAGATAACAGATATTGTGCTTTAATAGTCCATTGTAGATAACAGATATTGTGCTTCAATAGTCCATTGTAGATAACAGATATTCTGCATTAATAGTCCATTGAAGATAACAGATATTCTGCTTTAATAGTCCATTGTAGATAACAGATATTGCATAATACCTTCTCTGGCCTTATTTAAAATAGTAAAATTGACAGTTGAATTTGAGTACTAATGAAAAACCAATAAAAAATATGGAATTACACTGGAAATGAAAGCTTAGTCACTTAATAAAACAAAATTTAATATGTGCTCATTCGTAGACCTACAAATGCATGAAAAATATCAACCAACATAATTTGCATTTAATATATTAAACATCATGGTTCCAATTTAACACCAAATATTATAACCAAAGACCCTTTATTGCTAAGATGGTCCACTCAGCCCAAAATGTAGAAACATTGCTTAACAGATAGAAACTGTAGTGCTGGCTCAAGCAGGTTGCTGGATAAATATCCTCTGTATATATACATAGATATATTTAATATACTTGCTATTCATATGGCAAAAAGCTAACAAAGTGACATCATTCCCAGTTTTAATGTGTGTATTTAATAAACACACTAAATATCGATTACAATTTCAAGTTTTTCTAATTTTAAATCGTGAGCATTACCTTGCTTCTTCCAAATATTTGATACATCTCTTGAATTTTCCCACACCAACAAAAACTGTAACATGTGTGGCATCAAGAGATACAGGGAATACGATTCTTCCCTGCCATCGTATACTCAAAAAGTATCCTAGTATCACTGGTCTTCCATGCTTGTAAGGATTGTAAAAAAAAACTAGACAAATGTAAAGGTGAAAAATGTATGAAAGGTGACAACATTGCTATTCTCTACATGAAGAACAAGCTGTACCGTGACCTAAAAAAAATGAAGGTTTCTAATTCTGAAGTTAAAGCACTTGTAGAATGTAATGTACATTGTAATTATCAGTCTTGTATTATAGTAAAGTTAAGTGCTTTACTGTGGAGTTAGTCCTCAGACATACCACTGTACCACTGGGGGGCTTTAGAATAACACAAGAACTATATTTATCAAAGATAGAATAATCTGAAATTTTGTTTTAGTCACCACTTGCTACAAAGAAAAGTTCATGATACCTGACAATGGAGAGCTATTTGTTAATAACCACAATATGAGTAGATTAATATTTATTTCAAGAGTTAATGTCTTAAAATTGAAATACGATTATAAAGACATAATTATTGGTAATTCATATTTTTAAAAATATTTCACTTTACCAAACATCCCAAGAAGTTCTCCCATTAACTCATGAAGTATAAAAAGCACCAAGCAAATACCAAGGTGAGAAGAAATAACAAAATATCATCGTTTTTACTAGCTGTTCTTAAATTGTGTGGAAATAAGAGAATAATTACTAAAGCTAATTAAAAAATAGAAAAATTTGTTCTGATAAAAAGTTTGTTACTCAAAACATTCCTTAAAATGTAAGAGAAAAATTAACATGCTTGTCCTTATCAGCAAATGAGTATTTTTATAGGCTTAAAAGTATAAGATATTATGTGGGGGAGGACTCGGCAGAACCAGGAAGCATCTACAGCACACCGTGTGTCCATAGCGCAGGTGAAACACAATCCCCGTCCACTCACTGCACAATTGTTGTACATGATCAGCCAAGTAGTTTAAATAACACTGCATGAACTAATGCAGTTTCTTTTATTATATTATATATCACACTCACCTCATTGAGTCTAAGAGGTAGGGTTGAGCGAGCTGTACAACAATTGCTCCACTTCCTAATTGATGACATGTATACCCAGAGTCCCAATCATAGTTCTCTGTATCACCATTGATAAGGGCATTTCTACTTCGACTGACCCCTTCAATGACACAGGCACTTGCTTTAATGGTAGCAACATTAGCAAATGGCACTGGAAAAACCAACCAAATTTTGTATAAAAATAAAATTACAACAGTCTAGGTAAACAGTGAAAATGTAGAGCATGTACATAAACTGATAATGCACTGTCTTTATTTATGGACTATATTATAATTCAAACTCAACTCACTAATCACACATACACACAAAAAAACACCAAACAGCGAAAAACTTTTGTAATGGGTTCAGTATAAAATACATGATTTCGTATACACATTTGCACACGTTAAGTATTTATACTATAGCTTTTAATGCAGTATGCGTATCTTTACAAAATTTGGTAGACTTCTAGTAAACATTAAAAGTTTTTGTAAACAAAAGATAAGATTTTTAATGAAGTATTTCTACTAAAATTTGTTTGTGAATATGTCGATTCTGTTTCTTTACTAGTCCGAGTGTGAAGTGATTTTCATGTTGTGATTAAAAAAATATTTTTTGTCCCCAAAATCTCAATATTATTTGTGTAATCTCTAAAACCTTCAAAATACATTTTAAACATTTGTTTTCAGTAAAATTTTATATTTTAACTGTTATTTTGTCTACCCTAACTCTATACGGAGTCAGTCAATTTGACTGACCTCGTAACCACCATAAAAAATTAGGAAATAAATATAAATTATGCTTTTTTCATTCCAGAATGACTACAGGTTATACCAAGAAAACACAAATGTTTAGTCTAAATAGCTTAAATCGCATAACATTATACATTTATATATATTTATTACATTGACCTTCCAGCCATGCCTGGCTAACATTACAGAAGTTGCAATGACGGGGTGCACAAGCATTTATGTTATTGTATCAAAAAATATAAAACATAGGGTTAATATTAGGACAACAATTGTGTAATTTTTCACACAGGTGTATCAGAGAAATAGTCAACATTATTATATTTCAGAGTGAATTTAAAATGAGTCTGCCTCCAGTGTCAAAATACAATAAAAAGTTGTTGTATTTAATACTTTTAATGTATAAAGATAAAATAAAATACTGTGAGACTGGGAACAGTCTCATACATTCTACATTTCGACGTCTTACTACGTCATCATAAGGAGTGCTATATTTTGCAAGAGTTAAGACCTATATACAATTTCAAAATTCACATGATCAAATTACATACAATTCAGATGAAAAACTTATGTACACACAAAGTGAAACGATAAGACCTTAAGAATCAAAACTGGTATTACTTTAAAAATGATTAGTTCTGTTATGGTATTATGACATTTATACACACAAACATGCAAAATAAATGCATTGTCATTTTAAATTTTAAGTTTCTTACACTATTGAAAGATTGAAAGTAAAATCAAGTATGGTTAGACAAGCAGAGGATAGAGAATAGTGGAAGACAATGGTTAAAGAAGAAACAAGAAAGGTTAAATGAATATAATAAATACACAATCAATTTGAAATAACTTTTTGGTAGATAAATTACATATTCTTATATTTCTTGCTCTGAAAGAAAACTAATCCTGACATTTTATGGTATTCAAACTCTTCAATGAAGTTACATTAATAATTCTACATTTTTCAAACAAAACTCTTACCTATTAATCCTTGTTCTAAAGCAAATCGCTGATTGGTGAACATACATTCAAAAGAAACAACATGGAAGACACGGTTTACTGTGTTGTGGGTTCCAACAATACGGATATACCTGAAATTGTTTATTTAACATGATAAATACATAAGAAATGTCTCATTATTATAAAACTAGCTACATTATTTGGTAAGCCAGGTTTTATTTGGCAAAACAGAATTTAGTTGTTCAAACCTAATTAGGGCCTATGCAAGTCTCAATTTTGGTTATCCTTTGAAAACTTACTTTGAAAGCAAAACATTACATTCAGTAGTGCCAAGTAGACAGCTTATGGAGTTAATTTTTTTATACACTTTCAGCTTTACAACTAATTGAACCTTATCTCGACAGGTCACATGTCAAAGGCCATGTCATCGCATTTGTTGAGTTGCATTAAAATTTTATTGAACTACTATTTTATGAATTTATGTCAGTAAGTTTGGTATCAAATTGTAGATTCAAATTTTAGTATTATACATTAGTTAACTTGTTAATTTAAAAGTAAATATTAAAAAACAGTTAAACATCCATTTTTGTGTGTCATGTGGTATGTTGAATGCAGCACTGGTTCAAACTGGATGTTTATGATGTCAAAATACAAAGTCTATAGTTTTGTATGAATTAGGAACTCAAACTACTGATATTGACAAGCTAGAATATAAAATAAGAACCTCTTATCTTTTCTATTTGCTAAGATATCGCTCATGTACTGAATCAAACACAGTGGCCCCTGCCCACCTCTTTTCATTTTTGGAAACACTCCCTTATATACACTTACTTCTATATATGACATGAATAACAAATCAAAAGCTCAGAATTTCACCTAATGGTTTTCTCAGCCATTTTGATGTGTTAATCTCATTCTTTTCACACAAGATTTCAACCGATAAGGTAAGTCTTTAGAGCTTGAAATTTCATTTTTTTTTTACCCAAATACAGCTTAGTTACTATGCTTGATAAATTATAGTGGAATTCTGTGGTGTCAATATAGTAATTTATGATTTTTTGGGGTTATTTAAAATGCATATATATAAAACCTAAAAAATTTTCTTTTCACATCCCCCACGTGGGAAATTTCATAAGGCTTAGCAATCTATGACAAGCAGCAAATGAGCACAAAGGTCATAACTAGAAGAGATAATTGTTTGTTTTAATTCTTTATTTACTGTTCTATGTTTTAAGAAAAATAAGTTTAAGAACTTATTTGTAAATACTATTAATGTATATACATATATAATGTATAATAATTGAAATGTGACTGTATTTTACAATATACTAGTGTACTAAAACACAGCCAAGATAGGTCACCTT